AGATTAAATTGTATATCTCGATAATTTATATGCATGTTGAAAATTTTCTCGAAATCGATTCACGTTGTTACGAGTTACAACAAATTAAAGATCGCAAAAATCGCAGTTTTATCACGATTTTGACCAAAAACTGTAAGAAATCTGCGGTTTTTTAAATCTTTCAACGCCTTTAACTCGAATCTGGGTTAACCGATTTCGACCAAATTTTCAGCACGCGTATAAGTTACCGAGATCTACAAAAGGCATTTTTTAAATTTTCATTGTAGGCCCAAATAAAAAAGTTAAAAAATGAGGGTTCCTAATTTTTTCTTTTCATTCCAGGTAATAACAAAATTAAGAAAAAGCTTCTTAGCCATCGTCTAGTAGACCAGTCCCTCTATCATCTAAAAAAAATTCTAGTCATTTAGTCCAGTTTTGAAGAAGATATTGCGTTTTAAAAGGTGTACGAACACTTTTGTGGGACACTGTATGTCACTACTTACAGCGTCTTTCCACACCTTTTGATCGGTAGACATTTGGTAAGAAACGTAATTTTGTTCTTTGCCTAGAATTATTAACCAATAATACAACTTTTCTCTCGATTCTTCATGCAGTTGCATAACAGCTACGATAACTTAAGAATCATTCGCAATCAGACAGATTGGTAAGAACCCGTTGCCGATACCGATAACCCCCCCCCCCCCCCTCCCATTTATTAAGACATCAGAGGCGTCATAAAACAACTTCTTCGACGGTCATTAGAATCGCTGGAAGATTTGTGTACTTCTTCGACGAGCATTAGCCTCGGAATTCGTTTCCTTCGACGGTGCAGCTGCAGACACCATTCCGACCTCATCCCCGCAATAATTCTTGGCAAACAAACTCACGGAAAAACTACCCCCTACCGCTCGTGGACTTTTTCGTCGGAACCCTTTCCCCTCCATTTAAACGACGAATGATAAAGCGAAGCTGTTAAGCGGATACTTCTCGGGTACCCGAAAGAAACCACTGGAAGAAGTTGACTACGTTTCTGTCGAGGATCCGTGGCAGTACTTATCGCCTCTCGAAAAGAACGGAGAAACAGTTGCAGACTGGTAGACCAGCCATGGAATAAGAGAACCGGAAAGGAACCGGCTTATACGCCGATAAATGGATTAGCAGGATTCACTGGCGGTGGATAAAACAACCGCGAAGAACTGCTGGCGGGGGAGGTTAAAGGTTCGACCGAAGAAATTGCATGAGAGGCGTTTCGGCGCTACAACGCGGCCTCGGCTTTTTCTACTGGTTAGTCGATTTATAGGATTCTTGTTTCGTAGTCTCCTGGGCTGGCATTACCGTCATTACGCTTTTACAGTGTTCTTTTTACCACTGCCGGCTTGCTGTTTCCCATCCCGTTCCATCGTGGTTTCCTCAAATTGATACCGACGCACGGTGGTCCTAAATCCCGAAAACGTAGCCAAAACATAAAGACGAACCGGATTTAATAAAAAGAATTATGAATGGAGATTGAAAAAATCAAATAGCAGATCCGATATGTAAAAAGTGATTTGATTTTCACAAAAATGGATATCAGAATGTTTCGGGACTTCTGATTACGAATCTGAACTAATAATGTTAAAATGCCATCAAACGGTAAAGCAAAAAAATTATTTAAACAGAAGTATCGCGTTCGTAAGTTGTTTATACGTCTGTCTGGCGAAACTCAGAATTAAGTAGCTGTTTCATTATGTGAGTACTCGTCTTTCTTTGAATAGCTCGGGTAATCGATGATTAGTTTAAAAACCCGAAACTCGCGAAACAATTTCGCTCTCGGGTTTGGGTGTAAAACGAGAGTCTATAAAAAATACCATCTCGAAGGTATTACTATTTAAAATTCGTGTTGGACACTCTGTTCGATATCAAACGCACCTCCTAGCGTGCAGAGATCACTGATTTAGCGCCGGTGTGTTTTATATTTCGTCGGTGTTGCGATTTCTATGCATAGCGGCGTATAAATTCTTTCTGATCTCCTGATGTCGGTGGAGGAGGTAACGTTCGGAAAAAGCGGACGCTGAAGAAAACGGACGTAGATCGAAACTGTATTATTTAGGCACTTCTTGCTGGCTGCGCTCGATGATAGTACCCGCTATTTTCGTCACTCCGGCGCATCGACAAGCGCCGATAGCGTAGCCGGAAGGCTCGCTTAGACGAAGGTAAACTGTCGCATAGAAGAAAGCCAAAGGAAGCTGGTGCACGCGGAGGCGCCGCTGAAAAACCATCATCCCGGTTCAATCAGGCGGATGGCCTCGATTTTGATAGGGGTCAAACCGAGCCTTGTCAGACTCCCCCGGCAAATGAAGGTCTCGCAGAAATGCGATCTTTTCCGCGAGAAATTGCCCAGCCTCGCGTCTTTGGAGGACCTTCGCGAGGCTGTTCAGATATTTACATCCGTACTGAACCGCCCCTGGGTTGTGCACACTTCTTACGGTCAGATATGGCCGGCGAAACGAGTTCGAATAACAGCTGCGACCTAATGCCAATGGCTGTTTGCAATCGGGTCGGTTGCGGCGCGTGCGACTCGTCACAAATTAGCTGGGGGCGCGTGAATAGAACGCCCGTCGACGCGACATTCCGATTACTGGTTCGTCGTATGTCACTGTCGTAGCCGCGGGCCACCAGATTCTTGATAGCACAGCCTCCACGAAAGATCCTCGGAAATTGATAACTCTCCGTTCCGCTGGACGCCCGGCTATTTTTCAGCAACAAAAGGACGATGATTCACCGAGCCGCTGTCCTGCACGGCTGCCGATTAATGTGCCTGCGTCCCTTAATTAGTCCCGCAAACGAATGACGCGGATGTGCACGCTCTGCTCTTGTTTATGCAGATTTTCATGCCTCCCGGAGCCTTTCGGCAATAAAATTCCTCGCTGAGGAGGAAGAGCCGCCTATCTCGGCTGCCGATTAATGCTTGCGTCCCTGTTAATTAATCATGGAGATGGATGAAACGAAATTCACTTATTTCAGGATTTTTCGACCATGTGGCTTTCGAGAGGCCGTTTTCCTATTTCGATCAACATATAAATCTTGTACCATGTATTTACGTACATAATCAAGCAATCGCAGCGTACATTTTAAATTGTGTACGCCGTCATTTATGATACATTTAATCTCGAATTTCCAATTATATACTGGGAAATACAATATTAATATTTTCGGATGGTATTATAGAATAATATATTCTCGTTAGGCGCACTAATAGTATGTCTGAAGCATCGTAATTCGAAATCCGATCGAACATTCTACTTTCTTGTTACAGCATCATAAATATTCCTTTTACTTGTTTCGATAGAGCTCACCAACAAGGTTTAATTCTAAATATTTGGTTATGTTTCCACACCAACAATGAGAAATAGAGAATTAAATATAAATCTCTTGCGAGATTTTCTGAATAAATAAGTAAGAAGAAATAACTGTAAACGAAAAGTAGTTTTAAACAGTCCAGGACAAGCATACTTAATTGATACATTGTACAAAAGTAGCCTTCGACTTACCCTTGGTACTACAGTAAATTCTCCCGAGAAGGCTCGGAGCTCGGAACTGCAAACACTCAGACACGATTCTTCAAGCTTCGCGGCTCGTTTTTATAGAAACTTGGGACAGTCGGCAAAAAAAGGCAGCGACCAGTATGCCGGTGTACATTAATATGAATACGTAGTAATGCTAGAATAAAAACGATGACTTAACTTTTTTTATTACTAATTTTTTGCCACGATTCGAAGGCAATTCGGAGGTCACATGTCACGATTCGACGGTCACGTACCTTGTAGCTCCGCGGTTTTTCTTACTCGAAAAGTAAGTTCTTTTCTTACAAACAGACGATTTTGTGTTGTTTTCAGGGATTTCGCGTCGCGTGTCGTATCACACGCTTGACCGACTCCGTCGCACCTTAGCATCGATGTAGCGATAAATTACATAGGCATAGAACTAGCACAGGGAAATTCATAGCAACCCGAAATTTGGCATTCTGGGGAGGAAGTACTATATAGGACTGTTTGAATCGCGTGTTAGAAATTCTTGCACACTGTGGAAAATGAAAACATTTCTCTGATCTGATGCTTCGTTGTTGATACAATTATTTATTACTTCTGAAAAACTAGTAGACACGATTACATGCTGTTTCATATTACAATGATGAAATCGTTAATAGCATAGTCATACGAAAACCTTGTTATACTGAATTCTTGCTACTCTTTCACAGAATATTAATGCTTTCGAATTAACATTTAACAACACTGGAGGTATCATTTCTCATCGCTTGGGTGTCTAGTAATTTGATCTTCTTTACCTTAGACGACCATATTACGTCGACCTTTGTATGAACGTTGCCTAATCTTATGCACCATTAACAAAAAACGTGTCACAAAGCAAAAAGTTACTATCAAATGTCGGACGTATATAACAGCCTCGTTGTTCGTAGTTAGTGAGAGTGTAGATTCCTTTGTATACGTACACCTAGTCCTTGACATGCTCGTGCCCGCGGCCTCGTCGAGTTTCGAAGCATCGATCAGCAATTAGTAAACGAGTTTGCTTCGGCACTCGAGCCGTGATACAACTTGAAGAATCTGTCATGAAGCATATGACAGACTGCTCTCGAGATGTAAATCCGCTGGTGATGAACCGTTATTAAATACTTTCTCCACGTAACGATACGATCGCACGACATGGCGAACAATAACGGCGCAAACATCATTTCGCGACGTTGAGTTCTAAATTCTGTCATTAGGAAATTAATGTTCGCATTCAGCTGCGCACGATATGGAGAATTAATAAGACCAGCGAGAAGTTGTCCCGCCCCGCTAATAGAATGCACCGGAGAACACTTGTCCTTCGTCCGAAAAGAATAGCGGGGTCAGCACATTCTAAGTATATTGGCATGAAAGGGTGCATTTTGATCGGGAATTTCGCCACCGTCGCGAAAATCAAATTTAATGAACCACTCTGTCGGCGCTGCCCTCACCTGTATGTCGCCCGGCTGCTTTCAGGTGCTATATTCACTCATGACCAAAAGGATAGCAGTACGGAGCTGGCCTTCAAATATGCCGTCTACAAAATCAACAAGGACAGGCTCATCCTGCCGAAAACGACGCTGGAGTACGATATACAGTACGTGCCGAAAGATGACTCCTTTCACGCGTCGAAGAAAGGTAAGATATCTGTTCTACTATTGTTTAATATTTCGGAAACCGCTTTTAAATCCTTTCATTCGAACGGTGATTCTTAGGTATCGCTAAAAATTGATATTGGGTTGTTACAAGTGAGATGGCAGTTTTTATATTTTTCAGTCAAACTTTTATTTAACATTCTTAATAAATATTTCTTTAATCAAAATAATCTCTTCCGACTTCAAGAAAACTTTTAACGCCTTTTGAAGAAAAATTGCAAGAACGAGAGACAAAAAACTTCGTACGATTTCTATTATAGTGTATTCTTAAATAAGGAAATTTATGTAAAAATTTCTCATGGAAATATTTTTGTAATATCAGGATTTATATAAAAGGAAGAATCAGAAACCAATCATTTTGATTAGAATACTTTTAGAAAAATAATAACAAATAATTTGAATTGAACGATAAATGCAAATATTTTATATTTGTCTATAATATATGATCTACAATTTATTATAAAAGTTATAACTTGAAAATATCAGCCAGTGCAAATTAAAAGTAAGATGTTTCGCTAGAAAAGACATTTTTTCTTTGCGAGGACTTCATCAAGATTAAACATTATGCAGAAATTGATGAAATTAAGTTTTAGGTGGTTTTGCAATATGAAAATACATAATCGTATATTCGATTTTGACGCATAATCAAACATACAAACACATCAATCATTACAGCCCGCGCGCAATTGGCACCAATTAATAATTATATATGCGCTAATTGTAATTACTGTCAATCTCCACTCCTGGCTACACGAATTACAACAATAGTTGGTATTTGTACTCACCTATCTTTGCACAGATGCCAACTAGTTGGCATTATTAATTTAAAGGTTAATCTTCAATTAATTAATTATTCGATTTTGAACTAAAACGTTTTGTTTTTGACACGATATTTGGAAATTTATTTAATGGAGACTGTAAGTTCACTTCCTCGAGTGTTTATAAGCATATTTGATGTAAACTTATAATATTTTCACTGACGATAAAAGTCTTCTTGAATAAAATTGATAGTGTTCGGCACATTTGCAACAACAATTTTGAACACACAAAGTTAACACGAAACCAACCAAGCATTGGAAGTATCTGAAATGTTTTTCCTTGTTTTATCAGCAAAATTGAAATTTATTGCATCGTTTTCGATTGAAACATCCTCTTGTAATTTCAATAATTGTTAAATAAAGTATACAAAATGGGTCATTTGACTGGCACAGGTAGGTTTATTATTAAAATGCGGATGTATAAATCACCATAAAACATTACCAAACTGATAGTATTATAATCGCTAATGATACACTCTTATACTAATAACTTTCAACATTTTAAACCATCATTTTCAACACAAAAGATGTAAATGTGTATGTAATTAAACTACAAAGTAAAAAATGAAAAAAAAAATTGCGGGTAAACGGAGACAATGGTGAAACAGAAAACGTTTCGAAAGAATTTAAAAGCGTTCGTGGTCATGGTTTATTTCAATTTTGAAGATAAGAGATACTTACGTTTATATTTATATTTCTGCCTACCAAAAACTTGAAATTGAACAGCCCGGGTCACAAACAGAAAGAAAACCGACATTCTGGAAAACGGATCAATAGGCGAACGATAATGATACGGATTTGTTGAAATTATTTCTGAACCTTGTGCAGAATATAGCCCTAAGGAAAATTTATCACGGCTGCGCAGTGTAAGCCAAGCGTGGATAACAGGTTCGCACACAGTGTCGTTATTAAAGCGACATGCAACATTATTATCATCCCCCTGTCGGCTGCCAAATATACGTTCTCAAGCACCGTTTAATTTAGTTTAGAATATACAGGGTGTCCCAAAATTATTGTACAAGCGAGAAATGAGGGATTCCTGAGGTCATTTGAAGTAACTTTTTCCTTAACGAAAATACAATCCGCGGCTTCGTTTACAAGTTATTAACGAAAAACAGTGACCAATGAAAGGCGAGATCAGCTGGCGCGAAGCGGCCGAGCCAATGAGCGGAACTGTGCTTCGACCGCTCCGCGCCAGGTGATCTCGCTTCTCATTGGTTACTGTTTTTCGTTAATAACTTGTAAACGAAGCCACGGATTGCATTTTCGCTAAGGAAAAAGTTACTTCAAATGACCTCTGGAACTCCTCGTTTCTCGCTTGTACAATAATATTGGGACACCCTGTATATACTTCAGGACGTGCAACAAACTTGACATTATGTTTCCTTTCGATATCGTATCAACAGTAATTCCAAAAACAATGAACGGTGCCGGATAAATTGAAAAATACGCGATGACCTCCGTTCGTTCGGTTTCATTTGTGCGAAACTTGGGACGTTTTTGGTCGAATAGCTCTGTTTACAACATCGTTAGAACAGTATCACGCCAGTCCGTATTTTCTAACACGACGGTGAAACTACTGCAGCTATTCCTCTGACCGTGATAAATTCTCACGTACCAGACGCAGAGCTGCTTTATAGGATCATTTTGGCGCAGTGTTTCTGAAAACCTGAATTCTTTCTGACTTATTAGAAGCAAATACGATAAAAAATTTATTGTTCGATTTTGCAGTAAAATTTCGATCGCTTCAAAATTTAGAACTAACTTTTGTAAGGAAAATAGAACCAGCACCGGAGTGAGCTTTAATCAATTGTTGCTAAAACTTGCAGTATATTACGGATTAGTTTCTGACCCAAGTAATTCATCTATAAAAATTACTATAATTTCTTTTATTATTACATTATTTTTACAACTGTAAAATTGTCGATGCTTATTCTTGTAGACCTATTAGTATTTCTATTGTTTCTAGTGTAACTGCAATTTATTTAACTGAATTGCCCGAAATTCAGTAATTAGGTATATATAAATATATATACACACATATATATACACATATATATATATATATACAAACACATGCACATCCGGTATCCGAAGTTCGGAATTTAAAGAAACGGTAACTAACCAGTTTCTTTTGTTTAAAAGATACAAAGCCGCAGACTGCTACTAATGAAATTCTATTGATTGAATAGTGTGCTACGATTATCATAATGTAAAGCGCGCGCGCGCTTCAATGCGTTGGAATATCTTACTAGTTTCGTTCATGGAAGTCGATATTGCTCGCAAATCGTGTGATACTTTATTCGATAGATCGCATTCGATTCGAACTCTGCTGGCAGTGGGCACCGGCAGTCGTGCACACGCTAAAAATTCACTATCCACGGAGTAATCCGTCAGCCGGACTGTTTTCATCGCATGATACGTGTATGGGTTACTTACGCGTCACTATAGCCTTCCGTGGGAAATCACATCAACGGCTTTCCTTCCTTTTTGTTCGTTCTGGATCGTATTTCGATTCGAAGCGTACTGTTGCCGCGTCACCTAGTTTCTACACTCCAGTTTCCCGGAAACCTTTGATCGGGTTTTTGAAACTATTGGACAGGTGAAACAGTTCCTGCGGATTAAAACGGTGTGTAGGTGATATTTTTTTCTCGTTTTAGAGATGCGTCGCGCGTCCGAATGAAGCAGGCTCGAGTTATTTTCATTCAGTTCTTTAGATAAGGCAGTTCAGGTCTCATTTTCATCAGAAAAGCTTACAAATGATCATGTCTGTGAAGTATGTAATTCGTTTGAGACTGCAAGCCAAAATACGTTTATCCGATTCTGTTTTCTTCTCAGCAACTATGAGATATCTTCCGGTTGTTAATCACGATTTGGAATAGGACGTCGTAAATATATATATATATATATAGATCTTACAGACATCGTAAATAAATCTATCTTCATAGTTTGTAAATGAGTAATCGAATTTAAGACTGGTTTCTTTGCAAAGATTTCAAACTTATGGAGAAAAATAATTGAAAGACGAAAAAATTAACACTTGGACTAACTGAAAAGAAAATGCATCGCGTGGAGAGACAGCCAACCGTTCTTCCACGATTCTACATTTCTGTTAGCCTTAGCTTTCTCACAATCTTACTTTTCAAGATGAATATTATTACGTCCTGCCAGGTTTATGAAATCCATTGGGTATCTAATTGAAAAAATTAAATAACTGACTAATAATAATCTTCAATCAGAATAATTACCTATTCTTTAGAAAATATTGATAAAACAAGACATCATACGAATTTCATGATGTTAACGTCACCTACGGATCATTACAAATATTATTTACGTCTTGTTATTGTTAACAGTTTAAGACGATATCCCGTAAGCCATTAATTTTGTATAATTCATTAGATAACGAATGATTTCGCATTTTTAGATCACATGTTTCATAATTTTGTGTACATGTTTGGGTTATTTCAAGATATGATCTTCACAGTTACTAGGAAGGTCCATCCTCTAACGGGACAGTATCGAAGAAGTAAACTACGAATGTTTAATTTGTCGGACAGTTGGGCATCCTATAACGAACTAATTCTTTCTAAATAGAACGAAGTAACTTTTTCCTTAGCGAAAATGCAATGTTTACGAGTTATTAACAAAAAAAACTGTGACCAATGAGAGGCGAGTGCGCGGACTGCAAGGTGGTTCAAAGCAATGAACAAATCACAGAGCCTGAACTTCCGAATTTTTTTTACCACGTGACAGTGATATTTTTAAGAAAAACACTGTTCACCTTTATTTTAAAATGTCTGCAGAATATATACTAATTTTTCGGAGCTTAGATAATAAATAGTTTAGCCGTGACAGCCGTTTTAATTATTAATTTTGCCGTTTACAGTGAAGATTAAGAATGAGAAATCCCGTCAAACTTACGCGAAAGATATTTCTGTTTCAACAATTCCGTATCCAAACGGAATTCAACGAACTAGCTAATTAAATTAAATAAAAAAAGCTAATTCAATAATAGATTGCGTTAAAGAACATAATGAATATGTTTGTTTATGAATTGTGAAGAATATTGTTAATAGTTCTCACCCACTTAGTTAAGAATACATTTGTTGCTTGGAAATATGCAATGTTCAGTTGATCCCAGTTCGATGGCCATACCGAGGAA